AAAAGAATACTTCTGATTTATGCATGTTCCAAATTAAAATAAAAATTTGTTGTTTTGAAATTTTTTCGAATTGTTTCTACCTGTAATATCAATTATTATCCTAAGTATATTTATGTACAATATGCATTTTATTAAAATTACAAAAATATGAGTTAGTAGTGAGTTATAAACCAGGTAAAGAATTTTTAATGCATACACCTTAGGTTGAATAAAAGCAAAAGAGTATAAAACATTTGATAGTTGGGGGAAAAAATAGAGATGGCAATATCCACTGAACAAATACCAATTACTGAGGGTAAATATATGGAGTTTGGTAAGGAAACTGAGCTTGAGGAAAAAATCGTGTTAAAATAACATGTAATAAATGGATGGTCTGAGAAAAGAGAGTTGCTTAAAAATAATGTAAAAAAATTATTGGGACTCAAAGGAGCTTATAACAGAATATGATGGCTTATTTTATAAAGCGATTCAGATAATTGTACCAAAGACTTTAAGGAATTAATTATCAGCCAAAATACACTACAATCACATGGGAGCAGAAAAATGCAAATATAGGGCTAGAACATGTTTATATTGGCCAAGTATGAATTGAGACATAGAAGATAAAGTACAAAAATGCCAGATCTGCTTAAAGTATAAAAATATAATTCTAATGAACCATCAGTATGTACTGAAGTACTATAAGATGTTGTGGGGACAGATTTTTTTCAAAATAAAAACTACCAAATGATTGTTGATTGTTTTTCTAAATTCATCAAGTTTATAATGATATGAAAAATAAGTAAATAAATTATTTGCTGGGCATGGCATACCTAAAATTGTCAGAACTGATGAAGAACACAATACATTTCAGAGGAATTAAAAAAATACACCAAAAAAATGAGGAATTAAACACATACAATCTAGTCCAACCAATGATAAATCTAATAGTATGGTAGAAAGGTATATACAAACAGCATAAAATATATAAAAAAAATTCTGAAGAGGATGAGAAAGAATTATATTTAGCGATGCTTGAATTGAGAAATATACCCATAGACAAAGATATTCAATCAATATCAGAGATTTGAATGGAAAGAAGAGTTAATGGTTTGCTTCTAAGAAAATAAATCAAAGAAAACTTTGTGGAGATTAGAAACAAATTGGTTTAGAATCAAAAACAACAGAAAATTAATTATGATAAAGGCTTAAAAATTGTAGGAATTAAAAGCAGGCGACAAGATTTATTTACAAAAATAGAGAAATTAGGAACCAGGATTAATAAAAGATAAAATAGAGGATAGGAGGTCATATGTTGTAAAATTAAATAAATTAGATAAATATTAAAGAAATAAAAGACTGTTACAAAAAATTCCAAAAGTAGAAAAAATAAATAATAAAAAATTTGGGAAAGAAAAAATGGGAACAGAGGAAAAAAGGGTCGATCACTTAAGGAGGATTAAAAAATTGCAAATTAAAAAATTACAACCGTCTTACAAATAAAATAGGTAATAATAATAATAATAATAATAATAATAATAATAATAATAATATAATATCTCTAATATGTAGTTACTATTTAAAAATCATAATTTAATCGAAAAAAATAAATTGAAAAATAACTAATAGAAAAAACAAGTACAGTGTTTATGTAATTATAAGTCAAACATTTAAATAAAACTTAAAAAATATATAAATTATTATTTTTAAATACATACCTTTTATTTTTATGTTGTGGTCCTATGGATATCAAATATAATTATAAAATTTCATAATTGATAATACTTATACTTTATTCATATTTATACATAATATGTATATAATAATACGAAATAGACAACATTTAATTTTACCAAATTTAAACTATGAAATATTATGTAAATATATATGCATATAATTTATAATAATAATATTATAGTTTTGTGTGTTCTACATTTATAACACGTCATATTCAAAAAACATCACAAACGAAATGGCAAACGGATCACTAGCGTCTAGTGGCGAATTACTTCGGTAGTGCAACAAACAAAATTCATTAGTTTCCTTTATCATGTGGACGATGATTTTTGTTTTATGTTCATGGTCGGGACGCGCGAAACCGACGCTCACGGTTATCGCTCGCTATCAGTGTTGTTCTCGAACACTTTAATAGTTTTCACGGTTAGCAGCACTGTTAGTCGCGAGCGTCGGCACAGAGTTGGTCGGCCATATATGAGGGTTCTGTCTGTTGCGTTCACCACCACCACCGACGCCGCACATTAGGTTAGTGTAAACAACCCGTCATCGACATTTGATCGATCAATAATCGCGCCCCATCGTCGTCCACATTGTTTTTACCACTGTTTGGCGACTATGATGTACGCATGCATCGTGTGTTTCCGATTAACGTGATATCCGACCGCCATATCGTTTCATGTGCAAATTTGTTGTAGCGATTTTTGTTTTACACGTTGTTTCACTGCAAGTAATTGGACGTGGATAGGAAGATTACTTCCTATGTTTCGGTAAGTACATCAAGTGTTTTTGGAACGCAAATTCGCGTTGCTCTGCTCGCTGTAGCTAACATTGTTCAATATCATTACTACCGATGTTATCTCAGAAATAAACTGATATTAAATTATTCAGCAACAAATTAACATGTCTTGCTCCGTGTAGTTATCTTTTATGGTGAACGGAAAGCTATACAGGTGCATAGTAAACGGAATTACCCTGTCGATCATCTTCTAACTTAACAATAAGTGAGTTCTCAATTTTAATGTATGTTTCCAAGGTAAAAAGTAATTAATTATTTATAAATAGCCGAAATCTGGTTGATACCTATTTAACATTAACATTAATTTGTTATACCATGCGTACCATCACAATGATTGATACACTTTGTAGTAGCACATGTTTAAAAGATGAAAAGAAGCATTAGTTTAGTATAGGGATGGGAAAAATGATTCGATTCATTTTAATTGATTCACTAAAACGATTCTTTTACTGATTCACATTTGATAATTTATATAGTATTTTCACATAGTCTGTAGTGGTTCATACTAAGTAATCATGTACCTATATTTAATTGTTAAATTTTGTAACACCATTCCTCTTGTTAATTATCAAAATGGTTTTATTTATCTAAAATGTTTTTGGTATTCTATTTCTGAGACAAAAAATAAATCACTACATTATACATTTACAGTAACTGTTTGTGATGTTGTCCGTTGACACCTTGAACTTGAAATCTCAGTAAGTGGTATTAATGAATACTAATATTATAATACCTATATGGATACTGCTGTCTGGTATTATAAATAAATATAATATTATAGTATAATTTATTACTTGTAGTATAAATGTATAATATTTACTCAAAACTTCATATGTATTGAAAATGATAAATAAAATAAAAAAAAAACTCCTTAATATTGTTTATATTTATATTTTATTATCAACTATCACACTATTGTAAAGCTGCGTAGGGCAATCTAAAAAACATCCATGTCACACATTCAATTTTAAATTTTACTTTAAAAAATAATGTAAATTTTGATAACGCTTTAAATATATAATAATATAACTACCAAGAAATGGAAACAAATAATAATAACTACGAGTAAGCAGTGTCTTCTTTTTCTTTTAAAAGTAAAAATATATCCATGTCGAGTATTTTTGAAAAATTGTGTTGTACAATATGGCAGGTGACAGTAAGGAGTTTTTGTAATGTGTTCCAAAATCCAAATCGAAGAAATAAAGTGATACACTTATTATTTATCTTAATTCATGGTAAATAACCTGTTACAGATAAGTTGTTTTTATGCTACTATGGATCACCACAATCAAAAATAGAAAACGTTCAATCAATAAAATGTACATGGTAAATAATACAATTTCTATAATACAGCTAATCTATATATTTTAAACTCAATAGTATTGTATATAATTAGTAAAAGGAACATGTATACTGGGCTATTCATAATGAAACCCCAATGAAATCCATTTCTATATAGTAGAAAGTAAAAACCATTTATTTAAAAATGAGTTCATCCAATACTTATATTCCACCTTTGAAAAAAAAGAAAAAAGAAAAAAAAGGAAAAAAAAGAAAAAAAAGACTTAATTCCTTCAGCGTCAGTTGAAGTAAAGTGAGTGTGTCATTTTTTTTTAAATTATATCTTTGGCTATTATTAAAATTGTTTATAATTTGTTTTAGACATGAATCAGTACCTAATTCTTTACCAATTAATAGTGATTCGTGTGATTGTCTTGAAACTGATTGTCCTGGATGTTTCTTACCATGTGAATCGTGTGGATCAGTAAAATGTGGAGTAGTTTGTCGGTTAGTTAAATGAAATATACTTATAAAGTAATTCATTGAAAATTAATTACTAATATAGATATTTAATTTGTTTCAGGGTTGGTCGCGAATGGAACTATGAATTTGTCATAGTTGAAGGAAGGTATAACTTTCCGGATGAAGTAGAAACTACTTTTTCCTAGAATTATTATTTATTAATTATTTAATTAATTATCATTTATATATTATTTTTTAATTATATTATTTAATTAATTAGTTGATGAATTATTTCCTTGCATGTTGCCTAAAATATGTTATTTGAAGTTCTATTCTACTGATTTATTTTATTTTATAACTATTTATAAGCATTTTTATGATGATCAATTAATATTTTTTAGCCAATATAATATTTAATGTAATTTTTGTACATTTATTTTATTCTGTTCCATTATAAATGCTATTTTGCTACTTTATTGATAACTTTTTCTTTATTTAATTTTTATTTTCATGGTTCAATATAGTTAATTAAGTTTTCAAAATATTTTTTAAAAATTATTGTAGTATTAAAAATTTTTTAAACCATTTTTGGTTTTTAAAATATTTTAAAAACCATGAAATTTTTTTTTGAACCATTTTTAAAAAAATTTAGAATTGTATTAAAATTTAATATTTCACAGAATGTATATAGATGATATTTTAAAAACTTTCAAGCATTGTGATTTTTGATTTTTTAATAAATTAATGAATTCGTATTTACACTTGTATTTAAAATCTAATTGTAAATTAGTTTAATGGAAAAGCATGCATTTAAAATAATAAATAACATGCAGTATGTTCTCAGTAAAATATGTCAAATTTAATTTTTACTACATTGAATATAAATAATATTATATTAAATACAAATTTATATATAATTTATTTGAAATGTATTAAATTATTACCACTTTTTTTTTTTTTTCAAAAGTCTTTGTCTTGCAATAACTTTTCTTCAAAGATTTTTAATTCGTCAATATCTGTTATGGATATTTATAAATACTCTCATCAACTGTATAATTACATAAATAATTTTTCTGAATATTGTGTTGTAAGTCTTTGTTTATATCAGTCTACCAGTGGTGTTATCGATTTAAAGTCGAAAAAAAGAAAGTTATTGTTTATCTGCACATTTTTATTCCTATCAGGTTTCGTAGTACATTTTGAAATATTTACGATAACTTGTTTGATATTAATTACCATATGATTAACATTTGTTAAACAGCTTAATAATTATGAAAAAATATATAACTATTGATAAATTTTTAACTATCTCTAATTTCCACTGGTGGTTATAATAATTATTATACGTATGAAATTAAAATACTGTCAAAAAGTAAAAATAGGGAATTTATATAGAAATCTACAAATAGCGAATACTTATAATAATTAATTTAGAGTAATGCCTATATATTCGTATATTATATAATAATTTAATATCTATACTCATAATGGTAAAATATTTGGAAATTTTATTTGCATCATTATGAAAATGTATGCATTCGCAAATTACTTGTACATAAATCCAGTTTAATAAAATATATAAGTATAATATATTACTATTGTACATACTATTACTCATTTTATAAAGTGTTTAGAAAATTTATTTTCAGAAATATGTTTATAGGACACAAATATAATATTTTTTAGAACATATTTTGTAAATATTTTCATCATCTAATATGCTATGTGGAATTGAATCTTAAAAAGTAAAAAGTAAAAAAAGTAACGTTACAAAAGTTCCGTAAACCAGGGGATGCTTTTTTTCGATATTAACATACGTCATATAGCAGAAATATGGTTCGATTTTCGATTATTCAAGGTGAATTTCACGTGTTCACGTGAAATTAAGGTTTAATTTATAAAACCTGTTGCTTAAAATTTCACGTGTATTTATAATTTTATTCACGTGAATCCGTGAATTTATAGAATCACATTCGTCGCCATCGGTCCTCGTATGTAATGACTATATGATAAACTAGGCCTAATATTAAGTACAACTGTTTAGGTACGTTGAGTAAATAATATTAATAACTAATGTTTTAAATTATGACGTAAATAATTTTATGTTAATTAATATACATAAAACTTCATGAAACAAATTTTAGCAAATAGATAATGTAATAAAATAGTATGTGTTATGAATGTGTGTATGCGTGTGTGTGTGTGTGTGTGAGAGTACTATTGTCGTTGACCGTGAAAATGGTTTATTAAAAAATTGTCATACGGCGAGAGCGCGATTTGGGATGATTACTATATATATATATAATATATATAATATCTGAGCGGAATTTGACTATTTTATATTTGCATACATCGAGGTCAATATTTAAGACATCAAGTATTTAAGAAAATTAACGTTTATTTGAATAAATAATTAAAAATATATTTTATTAATTACATACCTCTTTTTTATGGATTCTTGTGGTGGCTTAACACCATGAACACTTTCTAAATGTCTTATTAAAGACCCTGTAGTGACGCCTACACAAGTATATTCATTGTTACCATCACCGTCACATAATTCGCAAAAAGCGCGATCACCTTCACGTTTGTCATAATCCCATCTTTTCACCATTTTCACCAAGAAAACTTTGTTTTTTAATGAGTACCGTCACTTAAAGGTTACACGCAAACTAAACGCGTCGTATACTACGTTGATATCTAATTATTATCGAGGTATCGATAAAGTCATGAAATGGGGATTTCATTACATACACTAACACTGCGAATACAATCTTTTACAGATAAAGCTTAATAATGTCGTTATAGATAATTGTCGATAAGTGACGATAATCGTCCAAAATAAACGTGTGCGGAAATGGGATATCCAGTATTTTAAAATCTGTGTGCGGTTTTATCCCATGCGTATTTTGCGCGTTTGTTCTGTAACGGGCGACGCCCAGGAATTTTTATTCGTACCTATATATGATAATATATTATAATATATTTTTCCAAGAATGATTTTAAATTAGAATTTTGAAGTTTTGCTAGCGGAATATCAGCTTTAATAATAGCTTGACATACGAGTAAATCGATGTTGAATATATTAGAAACTGAGGAAGATGTAGATGACAAAAAATTTTATTTGAATTTCAGCTTTCTATTTTTGTTCTTTTTGTGCTTATTAATTTGTAAATATTGTGTTACCTGAAATCGTTGTTCAATTGCTATCGATTTTTCACAAGCAGCACATTATAAAATTTGACCGTCACTTTGTAAATGTTCATTTGGAAATTCAGAAACATATTTTATTGCTTTGCAAGTCTTAGACGATCGTACTTTCGGCATTATTGGTAATTTAAACGTAAATATAAAATAACGAACAACGAACACAGATTAAACCCATGAAATTAAAACACGGCCCGTTCGTTACTGTAAGTATATTGACCCACTGTCAGTACTTCAAACACAAACATGTCTTAATAAATCGTAATCGAACATATATCGACAGTAGATTAGATTAAATTTGATAATTGGTATTTTTTTGTTATTATTTTGTAATTTTGGAAACATGAGAAAGTCTGTATTAATAAATAATAAATCGTAAATGAACAAATTGTCGAAATATGTAGGAAAAATGGAATTATTGAGAAATATGTAAAAACATGTACTTATGACAAATTATGTAAAAATATGTA